GGAGGAAGGTATGGAGGGCAACCATGGATGCCAGGGAAAAAGGGGGGAGAAGGTGGGACATAGCAGAGGGTGGGGGATGGGGAATCAGGGATGGCAAGACAAAGGGCAAGGTATGCAGGACGTAAGAATTGGAAAATTATTTGCTGAGAACATATATGTGGATGTACTTGATTGAGCCAATGCACAGTGTATTTTGGATGGAAAATTCATTTGTGTGTTGTGATGGTGTAAAGTGAATTAATAAAAAAAATAAAGTGTATCCAATTAAAATTTGAGTCAAAGATTCTACATCAAAGATTTTAAAATATTGTTTACTTTATCCTTATTTATTTTACATTTCTGTCTGTTTTTCACTGAACATATTACGTTAGTACAGTAGTACATTAATATACACATATTTGGTGTGCATGTTCAACACTTTTAACTGAAAATGGCGTGAGAGCAAGAATTTTTGTACTTCCATGATTTTCTCGGCTCAGTTACTATACAAGTGAGGAAACCAAAGACAAGGTTAGTAAAGAGACTTGTTCAGGGTCATACAAATAGCTATATTCTGCTTCAGGGCTGGAGTCCAAGTTTCAGCATGTTGTCTGACACTATCAAGGTTACAATACCTCCCGATCATGACCCAAGTTTGGCCTATAAAAAAGGTCATTATTGGGGCCAGCAGGCGACATAGCGGTTTTGGTGCTGGACTCCCACATGGCTGACTGTGGTTAGAGTCTTAGACCTGGAGGCTTGAAACTCACGCCAGGTGTGCATGCGTGCCCAGAATCTCAAGAGGAAAATGGAGGAGAAGGGATTGTGGCATAGTCATTCCCCAGGGGGGTGATGTCTCTTTTTCTCTTTCTGTCTTTCTGTCTCCAGTGAGCATACATGCCCTATAGCTAAAATCTTTCTTTAAAAAAAAAAAAAAGGTTATTATTTGCCAAACTGTCACAAGTATTCTAACAGTTTGGAGTCTTTGGAGAACAAATGTTTATGGCAAAATCCAGAGAGTGTAAGGGTTGAGGCGCTGGGAGTCGTGGCCATATTGCTCTGATCCTGCCATCACTCCTGGGTCTCAGTGTCCTACTCCACCCTCCAAATGCTGGACTCCTTGAAATAACCATGGCTTGGACAGAGTTCTCTCTGAAACCGAAGGGCACATTGCTAATTATGAATATGGGCTAGAAGTGGGAGATACAAGATGCCTCGGTGCCTCTGGTGAAGAAAAATTTTGTTAGTTGATGCTGAAAACGTCAGATTAAATGAGACCCTAGAACTCAAAGGATCAGAAAGCATTTGGAGACAGAGAGAAGGCCAGAGAGCTTGGGAGGATCTGAAGGCCATGAGAGAGCCCTGCTTCTCTGATGGCCACAGATATCCGTGAAAAGAAATACTTTTTTAATCATCCAGGGAGCCACATAGAGACTTAGATCAGATTAGGGTAGGAGCAAGGAATGATCTGGTCATGTGTTCCTGGACAAAGGAATTCAGAGCTAAGGCTTCCCACGTCCTGGTACTTTGTCGGTAATTGGTGAGCCATAGGCTAGCTGACGTTTTAGAAGGTCTGTCTCTACTACAAAGACCATGGGGAGTATATGGATATTGATGACAATAACAGAAGAGATGAAGGCATGCACAAAGCTCTAAAAGCATGAGGAGTCATTAAGGGAGAATTCCAGAGCTCCCAGGCAGAGGTGGAAGAAGTGGGGACCCTGCCGAGGTCTCACACCAGCAAGCAGCCAGTGGAGCTCGGTCTCTGAGAAGACATCGTCTGTTGTTGGCTGCAAGTTGCTTACCTATGACATTGAGACTCAGTCTGTGGCTGTGCTGTGTCCCCAGGCCATTGTCAGCCTCACAGGAGTAGCTTCCAGAATGTTCTGCAGTCAGGGACAGGTTGAAGGATGCTCCTCCTCCAGAGGGGGCTGAACTATTCCACAGGATGACATTCTCGTGATAAAACTGGTACCAGATCGGGGCAGAGCCTCTGGGGGCCTCACAGTGAAACTCCAGGATGTCCCCCACCACAGCCTGGGCCCTAGGGGCCCTGAGGGTGAGGATGGGAGGAGACACAGGAACTGAGGGGAAGAAAAGGGCTGTGAAGGAAGCATCCTACTCAAGGAGCCTAGAAATTGACAGATATCTTGGACCACACTTTTTCATTGAATAGTCAGGAGCATTTTTCCAAAATCATGGTCTATGGTTTGAATATATGCCCCCGGAAATCATGTGTCAGGACCTGAGTGTATTGTCTGTGTTGCAAAGGTAGCCAGTGGAAACACAATTCCTTCCCGCTGTCCCAGAGCATGGCCTAGTGGGTGGGGACAGGCGTGTGATGATGGCATCATGGAGGTGACAGTCTCACAGATTAATGATGGCTCATGAGACCCAGGTACGTTCTAGCTCTCATGATAGGGGTTAGGGCTGGGGAGAGATGACTGTCATCAAAGATCTTATATCAGGGTCTTCTTTCTGCATGTGCCTGCCGTCCCCTGTGCTTTGGTCAGCCATGCCTTGGGCCTAGGACTTGAACTTTCCAGGCACCAGAATCTGTAAACAAACTTCTATCTTATTTACAAAGCACCCAGGCACAGGTGTTTTTGTCAATGCAAAACCAGACTGAGGCACCATGAGAAGTAACCCCGGGTGATTGTGTTTTCATTGCTACTCTGTCTTCTTCACAAGAAGTAAGGTGTCTTCCACTTATTTTGTCATCTCTGAGGTTCCTTGGGTAGCTTTAAAATTTCACATCTCTGTTCCTTTGCCTCCTTCAGAAGTTCCCAGTGACTGGCAGAGAGCCAAGACTGAGGGACAGGCATTAGGGACTTACCTCTCACAGTGACTGTCCTCCGCCTGCTGAGGAGGGGGCCGTAGCCGTTGTTGGCTGTGCAGTAGTATCTCCCCGCATCCTGCACCTTCACGTTGGGGACCCGCAGCTCTGTGAGCAGGGAACGCTGGGTCTTTTTGCCCAGACTTACTGCTCCCTCTCTGTGCCAGGAGAATGTGATATTCCCTGTACCTCTGGCCACTGAGCAGATTAGGACCAGCATTTCTCCTTCAACCAGCTGCCCCCCAGAGGGCTGGACTTCCAGATTCACATCAGACACACGGACTCCTGGAAAGACATAAGGTGACACTTGAGGGTCCCAGCCAAGGAGAAGGCTGATACAGTCATGAGTAGGCTGATAGCAGCGGGTGCAATAAGCAGAGGCCAAACTAAGAAATAAGGAAAAAATTTATGTTTACTATTTATTACACAGGGAGCAACATCCCTGCCCACTCCCATGGCAATTCCCATCCTCTGGGAGTGTGGCCCCAAGGCCATGACCTTTCTAAACCTAATGTTGACTGCAGTCACATTTTATGGACGTTTATCTTTAAGAAATCTTTGATGCACCAATGGGCCACAGAATGACAACATGGGATGACACTTTCATCCTGAAATGACTACCCAAATCCCTCCCTTTAAGATATCTCCAATCTTGAAGGGACCAGCAGATGGCGTAATGGTTACATTGCTGGACTCCCACGTAGTTGGCTGAGGTTTGAGTCCTGGACCTGGTGGCTTAAAACTCATGTTGGGTGCATGTGTGTGCATGCCCAAAATCCCAAGAGGAGAATGGAGGAAAAGGGATTGCATCATGGCCAGCCTCCAGGAGGAGGTGATTTCTCACTTTCTCTCTCTGTGTGTGTGTGTGTGTGTGTGTGTGTGTGTGTGTATCTCCAGTGAGTGCATGTACCCTAAAGCAATAATCTCTCTAAAAAAAAAACTAAAAGACATCTCTAGTCTCACCTTCATCTCTCCACTTTTTTTCTCGGAGTTTCCAGTTCGTATTCATCTTCCCCTTTCGTGGGCATTTTGGTGTCAGTTTAGGCCATCAGATAAAAGCACCATAGGGACCCCTACAGACTGCTCTGAGGGCAAGTGTGGTGGGCAGTGGTGATGTAGTCCTCTGCAAGCCTGGCAGCACCAGCCTTCTCCTTGGCTGGGACCCCCACATCATCTTGTGGTAAGAGCCTGCATTCACATGGGTGCACGTGTGCACCTGGTGTTCTCAGGTTGCCCTGTACATGCCAGGTTCATACATGCACCCATGGTCTGGGCTGGCTGAGGCTGGGGATAAATAGCAGAGTCAAGGTGCTGGTAGGGGTGCCTGTGTCTCTCTCTCTCTTTCATGGAAGAAATAAACTTTAAAAAGAAAAAAAATTGTGAGCCAGCCAGCATTGTGATGGTTACATTGCTGGACTCCCACGTAGTTGGCTGAGGTTTGAGTCCTGGACCTGGTGGCTTAAAACTCATGTTGGGTGCATGTGTGTGCATGCCCAAAATCCCAAGAGGAGAATGGAGGAAAAGGGATTGCATCATGACCAGCCTCCAGGAGGAGGTGATTTCTCACTTTCTCTCTCTCTGTGTGTGTGTGTGTGTGTGTGTGTGTGTGTATCTCCAGTGAGTGCATGTACCCTAAAGCAATAATCTCTCTAAAAAAAAAACTAAAAGACATCTCTAGTCTCACCTTCATCTCTCCACTTTTTTTCTCGGAGTTTCCAGTTCGTATTCATCTTCCCCTTTCGTGGGCATTTTGGTGTCAGTTTAGGCCATCAGATAAAAGCACCATAGGGACCCCTACAGACTGCTCTGAGGGCAAGTGTGGTGGGCAGTGGTGATGTAGTCCTCTGCAAGCCTGGCAGCACCAGCCTTCTCCTTGGCTGGGACCCCCACATCATCTTGTGGTAAGAGCCTGCATTCACATGGGTGCACGTGTGCACCTGGTGTTCTCAGGTTGCCCTGTACATGCCAGGTTCATACATGCACCCATGGTCTGGGCTGGCTGAGGCTGGGGATAAATAGCAGAGTCAAGGTGCTGGTAGGGGTGCCTGTGTCTCTCTCTCTCTTTCATGGAAGAAATAAACTTTAAAAAGAAAAAAAATTGTGAGCCAGCCAGCATTGTGATGGTTAAGGGGCTGGGTTGTACATGGCCAAGTTTGTAGTTTGAGTCTTGTACCCAGTGGCTTGAAAAATACGCTGGGCAAGTGTGCATGCATGCCTCAATTTCTGAGAGGAGAAAGGAGGAGAAGGGACTGCAGCGTAGCCATCCCAGTTTCTCACTCCTTCCCACCTCTCCCTCTCAATCTCTCTGGCAAGCGTATGTGCCCTACTGCAAAAATCTCTCAAAAAAAAAAAAAAAAAAAAAAAAAAAGG